GCAACATGCTGGTTGCTGCTGTTTGGCTCGGGGGCTCCTTGCACGGCGCCCGGTAATGATAAACTAATGCCATGGGCAAGGCCAGGCAGGAAACATGTGACTTATCAGTAACTTTAGACATCGTAACACAATTTTAAACGAGATTTTATTGTAGATTATACATTTTACTGATACCAATTGTATGATATTTACCTTGTTTATTAAAAATAAATATATAAAATATATATATTTTTTTTAAATATTTTTTTTTGCATGTGGGAAGAGGTGGGGCGGCGCCCCTATGGGCCGGCCGCCACTGCGTCTGACATCGTCGTGAAGTCCCCTGTATTGTATGGGATTCGTTTTGTATCATAAAAATAAAGCAACACTTTCTCAGAATAAAGCAAAACTATGAGTTTAAAAGAAAAAAAAACTGAGTCAAGCAAAATAAAATAAATTTCAAAAATAAAACTATAAGTTGCAAACAAATCATTTGTGTAATCATGTAAACTATAAGTCTTTTTCTTTGTTTAAACTTATTTTTGTTTGCAGTTCTCTTTGCTTCTTTCTCAATGATCAGACTTTTGCTCTCGCTGCAGCTCTTCTCGTTTGCCCTCATTTTTTGTTTTCGATTTTGACACAAACATCCCTGGTGGGCGGGACTTTCAGGAGTGTGTCCCCATTGGCTACTCAGTTTTTGAGTGACAGCCCACTACACCACAGATCATACAGTGCAACTCATGCAGAAAACTCCGGAGTCCACTCGGCCACGTTAACACGTTAGTGTCGGTGTCTCCTGGGGAGTTTTCATGAACATATCGGACTTCTCTTATGGATTGCTGTGCATTATACTTGTGTTGTGTAGTTTATACTTTATTCCAACTTTAAATATTTTAATACCTGAACACACTGCTGCTGTTAAATAATTTCCCAAATTGGGATTGATAAAGTGTCTGTCTATCTATTTTATAGATAAAAAAAACACATCTATGTATTTTCAAGCTAAAGGTGATACACAATATAAAATGTATACTGTTATTTTTTCAAAGACATGTTACATTTCAAAAGCATATATTGCTATGTTTAGGACAAACAATTAAAGACTGCTTTAATTTAACAAATTAAATATAAAAGTGGCAGATTTGCTTTTACCAAACCTATTGCATACCAACACAATTAGGAACATGCTCACATCTTACATGTTGGTCTGAAGAGCTGAAGCATTCATACACAATGGATACAAACGGTGTTGTTTCATTCTATATCCTGTGAGAAAATGATATACATTTAGCATTACAAATTCGACATACTATGTGCCTGAGGAAGATCTGAATAATCAACAGATTTGAATGGAATCTCTAACATTTTCATGTAGAATAAAGACAAAAGTGATTATACAAATTACATTTATTGAAATTTGAACCAGAAGATGAAGTCTCAAAGAATGTTTTAAATAAAAGGACATAAAACAAAAAGGTGGATAATAATAAAATCTATTAAATGTATATGTAAAGACATTTGGTCAAATGAAATGACACTGTGATAACAGCAACGCCAGCGTGGATGAAGCTGGTGCAGGTCTCTCTTCATGCCCCCCCCCCCCCTCCGTGCTGTCCCCTCAGAGGAAGTGGGAAAACGGGATAAGACTCTGGACGCCACGCTGTCTCAATGATCCACACTGTTAATATGAGAGGAAAATAATGTTTTAGGAAATTAAAAATATGAAGTTAACAAATAAAACACAGCTCAGGGGCAGTCATGGACGGTAGGTTTTCCTACAAAGTTAACTCAGCCTCCATTGATTTTCATATCAAATTAGCGTGTTCATAAAATAAGCTATCATGGCTTATACTTGTATATCTAAACAGAGTCATGAAAACCTGTTGGTAGAGTCAGGCACACGAGTCCGTTTGAGTGTGTGCGCCGGTGTCTGAACGCTCACTCACTGCTAGCTATGTAGCTAACTGTTAGGCTACTAGCTTGCATTGTTATGGATATAAAGGTAGCACAAGCTAACTTTCATAGCACAGCTTTACTTCTCACTTAACACAATAAAGAAACAGACCGTATAGTACAGCACAAACAACACAAATGATAATAATAATAATAATACATGGGACTTATATAGCGCTTTTCTGGAAACTCAAAGACGCTTTGACAGAGAATAAAAAAAGACAACAAAAAAAATAAATACAAAAAGAGATAAACAAAACAGAAAAAGGGGGTTGTGGTTGAATGCAGTGTTGAACAGGTGGGTTTTCAATCAATCAATCAATCAACAACGTTATTAATCCCGCAAGGGGCAATTGGTTATGAGCAGCAGCTTATGTCATGTACACAGGCAGGAACATACAAGAAGAAAAACACACAGATACACCCGGGAGCACAGATGTGAATAATTCTAATTTACACTATAAATAGTTCAAAGCATCACAATAATAAATAAATAATCAAGTTAAAAGCCTTTTTAAGAATTTAAAAGTTTGAGTGCAGAAGGGATGAATGATTTCGAAAAGCGATTAGTCCTTTGAGCAGGTAGAGCATATCTTCGCCCTGATGGCAACAGACAAAATTCATGTGAAAGAACATGACCTGGAGAGTCCACGACCTGAGAGTTCACGACCTGGAGAGTTCACGACCTGGAGAGTTCAGAATGCTCTCTGCTTTCCGCAGAATCTGTTGGTTACAGAAGGAATTTAAGTCTCTCTGTTTCACGCTGATGATCTTGGAGCAGGTTTTAACAATGCTGTTCAGGCTGTTCCTGTCTTTCAGTGTAAGGCTATGGAACCAGCAGATAAGTTTTGAGTGATGTTTTGAATGCTGTGAGGGAGGCAGAGTCTCTGATGGATTTGGGTAGTGAGTTCCAGAGGGTGGGTGCAGCAACGGAGAAGGTGATGATCAAATGATCAATACTTACATATATTTTCACTTGTAGTATTATAATAATTGAAATGCTGGTTCTTCTGGGGGTGTTCCAGGTTCTATCTCAGCTACCGCACCGCTGCTGCCTGCACTGTACAATCACTGGAGGACTGGGCTGTCACTCAAAAACTGAGTAGCCAATGGGGACACACCCCTGAAAGTCCCGCCCACCTGGGAGGTTTGTGTCAGAATCTCAAACAAAAAGTGAAGGAGCGCAAATGAGAAAGCTGCAGCGAGAGCAAAAGTCTGATCATTGAGAAAGAAGAAACAAGAACTGCAAATAAAAACCTATGTTAAAACAAAGAAAAAATACTTATTGTACATGATTACACAAATGATTTGTTTGCAACTTAGGCTATAGTTTTATTTTTGAAATGTATTTTATTTTGCTTGACTTGTTTTTTTTCTCTTTTAAACTCATAGTTTTGCTTTATTCTGAGAAAGTGTTGCTTTATCTTTATGATACAAAACGAATCCCATAGTATTCTACATCAACCCATTCAAAATTGATGGAGGCGTTGGCGGACGTTGACACGTTAGTTCTCCGCTCAGTTAGCTTAGTTATCTGTTCTTTGGCACAAATCACACCTCATATAGCTGTACACTCTCTTCTACGCTTCTCTCCCTGTATCGCCCGGCACTCTCCGCAAGATGAGGCCCCCTCCGCAAGGTGAGGCCCCACGCAGTCTGCATGATCGGCCTGTATGGAGGGACGGCCCTGGTTCCAGGATAACCAATGAGCACCTGCATGTGTGTATGAGAATGGCCCTGACACAATTTCAGCCCAGATTTTAAATCCTGGCAGGACAAGCTCGAGCTCAATTCTCGCACGGAACAAAAAAAAGCGAGTGAGGGTGTGAAGCTGGCCGTTGAGCGGCCCAGACCAAGCAAGGAGGCAGAGGAAGAACGTCCAAAAATATAACCCGACGTGGGCATTTATTAAAATATGAACACATTACACACAGCCTCAATCCTGCTGTTGCTGTTCACGTGAGCCCAGCCTGCAGCCACCAGGATCTCACCCACAGTCCCTGCCTCTCAACAGACTAAATACACACACTCTAATCAGCACAACAAGACACAGGTGAGGGGGGAGGAGACAACACAGGACACCAGGTGGACACAATCATCAGCCACAGACATCAACTGTACTGTGCAAACGCTAATAAAGTGCAATATTACCCGGCCTGAAGCCGTCAGTCCATAGTGACGAAGTTACCTTCGTCACAGAGGGACTGCAATATAAGAGGGAAAGAAAGATACATTTGAAAACTGTTCAATTGTTATGATGTGTAAAGACTGATATTGTTCTATAATCGTCTGAAACTCTTAAGTCATGATGTGAAACGGTTAACAAAGAAAAAGGGAAACTCAAGCTGCTGCTACACTTTATGTTATTAATCTAAAATGAAGCACTTTTAAGATGCACACATTTTCAAAAGCTATTTTACTTATTTTCTCTATTTTATTTTTAAATGCAGCCCGAGAGGAACATTACACATATCAACAGTATTGTACTGTTAATCTGTATAGTTCAATGTTAATTGACAATTAATATTGTGTTTTTGAATTGTACTTTCTTTATTTGATTGGCAGTCAGTTGTTGATTACATGCAGACGTTGATACAGCTGCAGCTACTTCAATATATATCACACTAATTCATAAAGCAAGTTACACATTTTGATGTTCCATCGTTTGCATGGGGAGATTTTCTCTAACTGGACCTCGTTGAATTTTTGTTGAATACCCCTGGCCTATATAATTTAAAGACATTGCATGACATTATATAGCTACCCTGAAAAAGATATGCCTAGAAATGAAACAACGCACACACACGCACACACACACACACACACACACACACACACACACACACACACACACACACACACACACACACACACACACACACACACACACACACACACACACACACACACACACACACACACACACACACACAGGCACAGGCAGGCAGTCATTCCACTGAGCAGAGAGAGAGAGAGAGTCTTGAGTTTTCTATACAGGCACTCTCGTGGGCAGCTCACACGCTCCAAAAAGGGGTCCTTCAGCTGTGGCGCATGTTTTGTATTTCCTCCTCGCAAAGCTGGCTGACAACTTTCAGAACACCGGTGTGTCACTGAGATGGTTTGTGTTTCTGTGTTGTTAAAGCTTCTCTCTTCACTGTAATGAAACGGCTTCACGCAGCGACAGTGCCTCTCGCGTAATACCAAGGTACACGTGTTGGTTTTAGCCTGTTGTTTTAGGCAGTTGCTAGCTTGTTGCTAACCTCCTTGCTGTAAACAACATGACAGTTTAAGCTAGCCTTAAGTGCCTTTATAGATATTAATTGCAGTTGTATCTTTTCTGTTTCCACTCTAACATTGTATGTTATGCTTTATCTTTAGGATGGTAAATCATAGCAACTTGTGAGTATAGCAGCCCTGATAACGTCCAGTAAACAAGATGACTGTAACCTGTACACAATATGAGCAAAGCAATAGCTACAAACAATACCAATACAATAAGATTGTTTTGTTAAATACGTCTCTATTACTTTAACTCGCTAGTTAAACCCCTTATCTTCAAGTAGAATAAGCTTCATAGGTTTGTATTCTGCAGTGCATTATCATACAGGTTAAGCTTGTGGATCAGTCATATCAAGTGTAATAGCCTTACTAAAGTCAGTGGTATGTATATGCCAGTTACTGAAGCAACATAAACCACACGCTATTTAAATAAAGTTTGGTGGTCATAGATTAGCTAAATCAATTATTAAGCATTATGGTTAAGCAAATGCATTTGTTTTAGCTATGCACTGACATTGAGTCACTGTTAATGAAGAAGGCTGGCACACATCCTGTGATTGTCAAGTGTAATTTTTAAGTGGATCCAAATTCAGAACTTTATATTACATTGCATTATGTATGTTATATGGGGCACAGTGCAGCCTTACTTTACACTATACGAGTGCTTTTTAGTTTGATCGTGTAGCTCCTATATCCAGCTCACGCTATCTTCCATCAGGATGTACAAATGTTAAACTTGTTCTCTTCATTTAAATGGTATTATACATTTAATTATCCAAGACACACAAAATAAGGAAAACTAAGAGTTAAAGGAAAATGCCTATGCACCAAAGCATTAAAGTAGGGGTGGGGAGGGATTGCAGTAGTTTATTTATTTATGTGTTTCCATTTAAAGCGACACATCATGCATCAGTACATGATATCATCAAAAACGTTAATATACTTTTTTAATATTATTAGTTTTGTTTCTTACCCCTGATGGATTCTTCATTTTAAATTCATGATACTCAGCCTTGCAGCAATACTGATGCCCAGAGTGAATATTATAGGTCCAATAGTGTGTTTTATTACATAGGAAAGCAGACATCATAATTCGAGACCAAGAATGACCTCATTGTAACCCTGCTGTTCGCCCTGTATAACTACGACCAGTTAACCCTCTGTCAATCCTTTCACCGTCTATTACTTAGCCTTCATGCAGTCACTCACCACACCCTTGCAGATGACTGACAGGTGTAACACAGGGACCTGTGCATGTTGACAAAGTGTAACATGTTGTTGTTTTGTGTGTCCTTTGCCCACTGTTGCATAATGCATCTACTTGTTTTCATATCTTTGCTGTATGGACAGCCAAACCCCTATAGATCCGAAACCCTTCACACCCCTAACGTGTGGAGATGTGTGATGACACTCGAGCTGTCGACCCTCTTGTGTCTCTGTATCCTCTATGGAGGAAATGGGTGATAATGCAAACAGATAAGGCTCCTGGTACCTGTTGACCACCGTCAGGACCTCCTAAAACAGGACCCTCGGACACAGTGCTCCATCAGGGCCTGCCTCAGTGACACCCACAAGGCATTTAGCTCTTATCTGCTATGGCCCCTGCTTAGCATTCACGCCATTCACGTGGACAATGCCACCTCTTCCCACTCATTGGACCTGTGACTGACAGTGGGTGTTGGTGCACTTGTGTCTGACTTCAGCCTCTGTCTGACGCTGGGATGTTTATCCAGGCCAGATAACCCCACCAAGACACAATAAAGGGCGTGTGTCTTCCTCGCCACTTCCCATGTTGTTTGTCTAACTGGACTTTTAATAATGGACCTCGCTCTCCATTTGGCACGTTGGTTTCCTCCTCAGAAGGATCTGTATTTGTTGGGGGAGGGTGAGGGCAGAAAGGCTGACTAATGATCCTAGAGCCAGCTCACCCCCCAGCCGGTGAGGTGGAAGTGCCTCCTTGGCGAGACGGTGAAAAAGAGGGAAACGGCTGATAAGACTATTGCTTGTGTTTGAGCAGCAGAATGACGAATAGCTGAAGTATGATGTAGCAGCTATGAACGGATTTAGGGTCTTTGTTTGAAGCTTGTTGGCTAAGATGTTACAGGAAAGATCACTATTGGTTGAAATGTTACAAAGTTGTCTTGTCATTGGAAGTCCTATCTAGAAAGCAGCTTCTGAGCTATGTGTAATCTCCTTCAGTTTTCATCACGCAGCTCAGATCTCATTTTTGATGAGGCTGATATCAGCGGGGGATCTCGGGATCCCATGCCTCCATAATGGCTCCTGTGAAGCTGCGGCATTATAATGCTTCTATAACAAACGTCCTGTGATCACTATGTCCATCCCTTATTTATGAATGGCAGAGTTTGACAAGGGGGCAGCTCAGGTGGGTAGCTGCTGATCACATGATACCAGCGCAAAAGAGCCCAGGGAGGAATGCGGACAGGACTCCCCCTTCACCTCCAGTCAAAAAACTTTGATGCGCCATATCATAACGAATACCCTCTCTGTCCCCTCCCTCTTCAAACCCTCATATGTGCAGCAATGTTCAGGGAGGGCACAGATAGTGGCTGCGTTTGATCTGAAGGTCGCCAGCCCCTTGCTGGTGTTGAGAGACGCTTGGCGGACGAGGCTGGCTCTTATTTAATAACATGAAGGGGAAGCGGACCTTTCTCTCATAATTAGGCCTAATTACCCGCTAGGTGTGGACAGACGGCCCAAGAAGAGACAAACTGCCTTTATCCACAGACTTAGAGTCGGATTACTCCGGAGCTGTCTTATCTGTTACTGGGCCAGCAGGATTCTCCTCTCATGCCCCTTCCCACCATATCCAGCTTTATTAATCACTCACTCTCATTTATTTGGCCCTGTCCAAGACGCACGCTTTAGGCCTGGTTAGTTAATGAGATGTTATTGTGGACATGGACATAAGACAGTTCACTGACCTATTGGGTATCTATTGCTCATTTTATGGAAGTAAAATTCTGCAAGTAGAGAAGTTTGGAGATCTAAAATTAAGTCAAATGTAATTGTAATTAAAAAATGGTATTTAAATTACAGGAAGCACAATGCTAGTTGGTGGTTTTAAATACCATTTTTGATTAAGTATTGTGGAGCTTCAAAGATGTCCAAGCCTACAAATCACATTCTACAGACTGAACAAAACGTATTTGTGCCATCGAAATGACGCAATGATAATTTAAAGATGTATTTTTTCAATGATATAGTGAATTATACATCAAGAAGGATCAGTCTTTCTTTGTGAATCATATCTCAATTGCAATATTGGTCAAAAATAATCGCAATGACTTACTTTTTCATAATATTGTAGCCCTTATCTTAATAGAACAGGTAACTATTCCTTAAGGATCTATACCATGAGGATCACAGATACCCCAGCTACTAACCTTCTGCCACTTCTCCAGAAAGGTATCTCTGCATTCGCTACAGACTTCAAACCTACAAGCTGTTAAAGTGACAGGTTTGATTGTTTGCTCGACTGCTTCTCTCTGTTGGCGAGGAACAATTTGAGGATCCTCACAAATAGATTAGAGTGACATCCTGCCACCGTCTTGTTTGTTTACAGTATCTGTCTCCCCCTTCCTGAGCTGTGTGTTTGTATTTGGGTTTGTGGAGGACTCTCGCCCACAACAATGGGACTGTCGTGGGCAATTCAGACACTGGAAATGCTGACGCTTGGAAAAGTGAAGAAACTGAGGAAGTAGTGGCAGGGGAAAGTGGGCATTACAGAGTCCATGATGTGTTATTGTTGGCCGACCCGGAAATCAGCATCGAAAGCAATGGGATTTTTCCATTGGATTTTGGAATATTGTGGCAAACACACATTTATGGTACTTGTGTTTTTTTAGCAAGATAATGTCCATATATTAACCCCACTTTTATAATAGTTGAGGCAAATCATAAATATCTAACGTAATGCTGTAAACAAACTGAATAACGGTCACATGACTTCATGTCACCACCGCTAATCTAAGTGGCTAATGTTTAGCATGAAGATGTTTAGTTCGCTTATTTAGTTATTTTATAGCTGCCTTTTTAAAGACACTTTAAAGCTTTAGGCGTTCACCAGTCGGGTATTCACTGATGCATTTTATGACGTAGAACATAACATCTTGTAACATTGTATTAACCTTATTTCATGCATCTTGCCAAAAACCATTGATTTCAAGAAAGGAACCCAGATGCTAAAATGCGAACTACTTTCTGGGTTTACAACTCTTTCCGACACCACTTTACAACTTTAAAAAAAAACAAATGTGGTTACATAGTCCTCCGCCATCGCCATCACTGTCCCTTATTGTTGTTTGTGATTGACAGTGAGCTATGATAGCCACTGGAAAGCCTTTCAGACACTTGTCTTTGGACAATGAAAACAGACGGTTTGGTCCGACCGTGACTCACAGCTCCTTTCAGGCCTGCTGCAGGAGGACAATAAGGGCCGGCTAATCCACCTGTTATCAGGGTGAGCCCCACCTGTCACACACTCACACAGGAGCAGGACTCTGGCGCAGGAATGCAGTCGTACCTATCTACACACAGCTTAACGGATAGACCCTCACAAAAACTCTGACGGTTATTGCCATTTTTTTCATACCACGCCAAAGCAAGTTTGTACGGTTGTCGTTTTCCTGCTGGTTTAGTTGTACGAGTGATACCTAATGGTCAATACCGATGGACATACTGTAGACATCATCTTTCACCCATTCAAGTATAACGTTGGTCATTTCACATACTTTGATTGATGGATCTTTTCTGTAGTAAGCAGGGAAAACGTGAACTGTTTTTGCGAGCATGCATTGTGATGGAATGACTGTGTCCTTGTGAGTCGGTCAGACTGCACTGAGCGTCCTTAATTAGGCAGGCTGTTTAGGGGTCTCTTCTGTCTCTGCGCTTCACAAATTCTCATGGACAATTTAACCACTAACCTCCTGAAATGAGTTGCTCCTGAATGCCTCAGGCTCCAGTTTCGGCGACTACTGATTGCCAGAATCAAGGGTTATGATAAGTAAAAGTGGAGGAGGGGGTGACTGAGTGTCGGGTGTTGATGTTGTGCTCATTAACTCGGAAGGCCATTTTACAAATAGTGACTCCAATTGTGCTAGAATAGTTTTTGGAGAAATACACTTAGGCGCTTTATTACTTTGTTTAAACAAGAAGATGCAACTCTCATGTCTCTGTTCAATAGTTAGTAGACAGTTAGCTTAGCATAACAACTGAAAACTGCTATTTCTTAGCGTGAAGTTGTGACTTCCTGGTGTCTCTAGTATCCTATCAACATCACACCAAGGACATGAACCAGTTATAACGTTTACTCTTTGTCTCGTTTAAAAAACAAAACAAACAAGATACCTAATGGGGCTGCACGATATTGGAAAAAAGTGCCATTGCGATTTTTTCCCGCCTGCGATATACAGCGGGGCAAAAAAGTATTTAGTCAGCCACCAATTGTGCAAGTTCTCCCACTTAAAAAGATTAGAGAGGCCTGTAATTTTCATCCTAGGTACACTTCAACTATGAGAGACAGAATGGGGGGAAAGAATCCAGGAAATCACATTGTAGGATTTTTAATGAATTAATTGGTAAATTCCTCGGTAAAATAAGTATTTGGTCACCTACAAACAAACAAGATTTCTGGCTCTCACAGACCTGTAACTTCTTCTTTAAGAGCCTCCTCTGTCCTCCACTTGTTAACTGTATTAATGGCACTTGTTTGAACTCGTTATCAGTATAAAAGACACCTGTCCACAACCTCAAACAGTCACACTACAAACTCCACTATGGCCAAGACCAAAGAGCTGTCAAAGGACACCAAAAACAAAATTGTAGACCTGCACCAGGCTGGGAAGACTGAATCTGCAATAGGTAAGCAGCTTGGTGTGAAGAAATCAACTGTGGGAGCAATTATTAGAAAATAGAAGACATACAAGACCACTGATAATCTCCCTCGATCTGGGGCTCCACGCAAGATCTCACCCCGTGGGGTCAAAATGATCACAAGAACGGTGAGCAAAAATCCCAGAACCACACGGGGGGACCGTCAATGACCTGCAGAGAGCTGGGACCAAAGTAACAAAGGCTACCATCAGTAACACACTACGCCGCCAGGGACTCAAATCCTGCAGTGCCAGACGTGTCCCCCTGCTTAAGCCAGTACATGTCCAGGCCCGTCTGAAGTTTGCTAGAGAGCATTTAGATGATCCAGAAGAGGATTGGGAGAATGTCATATGGTCAGATGAAACCAAAATAGAACTTTTTGGTAAAAACTCAACTAGACGTGTTTGGAGGAGAAAGAATGCTGAGTTGCATCCAAAGGACACCACACTGTGAAACATGGGGGTGGAAACATCATGCTGTGGGGCTGTTTTTCTGCAAAGGGACCAGGACGACTGATCTGTGTAAAGGAAAGAATGAATGGGGCCATGTATCGTGAGATTTTGAGTGACAACCTCCTTCCATCAGCATGGGCATTGAAGATGAAACGTGGCTGGGTCTTTCAGCATTACAATGATCCCAAACACACCACCCGGGCAACAAAGGAGTGGCTTCGTAAGAGGCATTTCAAGGTTCTGGAGAGGCCTAGCCAGTCTCCAGATCTCAACCCCATAGAAAATCTTTGGAGGGAGTTGAAAATCCGTGTTGCCCAGCGACAGCCCCAAAACATCACTGCTCTAGAGGAGATCTGCATGGAGGAATGGGCCAAAATACCAGCAACAGTGTGTGAAAACCTTGTGAAGACTTACAGAAAACGTTTGACCTCTGTCATTGCCAACAAAGGGTATATAACAAAGTATTGAGATTAACTTTTGTTATTGACCAAATACTTATTTTCCACCATAATTTGCAAATAAATTCTTTAAAAATTAGACAATGTGATTTTCTGGATTTTTTTTTTTCTCATTTTGTCTCTCATAGTTGAAGTGTACCTAGGATGAAAATTACAGGCCTCTCATCTTTTTAAGTGGGAGAACTTGCACTGTATATTGCGATATGAAAACATACAGGAATTGAAGAAAATACCGTTTTTTTTCCCCCGCAAACCATCCTTTCTTGAACTTTAATGCTATACAATTTCTTTAACTATATTTAACCGGATGAAGGATTTTAGTCACGGACGTCTGGATCTTAAGTTATCAGAGCAACAAGCTGAGCTAGCTCGGTTAGCAGCGCCGAACTGCCCTGGAGAAACACATGAAACTACTTTATTCAGTGTTTTTACCTTTAATCACCGGGTCCGTTTGCTTTGGAGATTTGATTGTGATTGGTGGATGTGCATGTCACTCACTGACATGAGAGCCGTGCAAGTTTTCCTTTTGTAAGAAGCAGCAAATTAATTGTAACATGACGTGTTTGAGTTAATTTTCCTACTTAATATCGTAAGTCCTAAAAAAAAAAAACTTAATTTTTTTTTTTTAAATCTCACGTCCAAGCGATGTGAATATCGTGCATGCGCATATCGTGATTATCGTCATGACACGATATATCCTGCAGCCCTAATACCTAATATGTTTGCAATTGAGTATTAGAGGTACTCGACAGAAAAAGACTTGAAGCATAAAACATTCTGTGTCTTTCTGAGATTAATCGTGGCTCTGAAGGGCAGCCAGTTAAGTGTCGATTGATGCATTTAGTAAAATGGCAGCGGGTTTTTTTTTTTTTCGTGAGATGAACAAACAACAGAGGGTTCATAAATAACTTTTACTATTCGGATTGGTTGTTTGGGTTTGCCCAAAGGCTAAATCCCCCTTCAACCCACTTGGGTTACTGGTAGGTGGAGTTATGGTCTTTATGCTAAGCTAAGCTAATCATGTCCTTAATCAAGCTTCCTATTAGGGAGTGTCATAGTCCTGATCTAACTCTTGAAAGGACTCTAAATAAGGGTACATATCCCTAAATACCAAAGCATTACTAAAGCCACCTTCAGTAGGTTCTTGTGCGCTGCTTTATTTCTAAAACTTTAAGAAGCGCGGTTCAGCTTATTTTGATATTTTTGGAAAAGTCATATTTAAGATTGACTCCTGGTGAGCGTGTGATTGCTGATAACCGGATATTCATATTATTGCAGTGTGGGGAGGAAGGAATTTACGAGGCAGCTTCGAGGTTGGTAGCAAGTAAAACCGGCTGTTCGAATTGTTTTTTTTATTAGTACGCAATTATTCATAGGTATTTGAGTGCGTGGTTGTTTTCAAGTCATCGTCTGGCCATTGTTCCCTGTTAAAACTGAGAGGTTGGGTCACTCTTACTTTTTCAACTCTTTTATGGTATAATAATGAAAACAACAGCAGTTTAGCGAATAGGCCATCTGAATCCAATCACTGACAGTCACTCACCTGTGATGGTACTGTAATTTAATGTTGACGCATTATTTCCTTGCAGCATACCTGCGGTTGGATCGGTTTCCTCTGCAGCCCTGTCTACAAACGACATAAAAGCCAGAGCTGTTATTTGTGCCTCTGGGACAACGGCTGTTGATCGCAAGAGGAGTGAGAAGCCCGAATCTCCGTGTGTTTACTGTAATTAAGCTGTCAGGGGTTGTGATTTATGACTTATTGAGTAAGAGAGGTGTTATCAGGTAGAGGAGGAGGAGGAGGAGGAAGACGGAGAGAGGGCCACAGGGTTTGTAGCGGCTAACAATAGAGCAGATACAGACAGAGCATTAAACACAACTGTCTGCTGTGTGAAAGGCTTCCAGGCAAAATCGAGTTTCCTTCTGACAATGTCTGGGTTTCTGATGATTTCAGGCCTGCATTTGACTTTTACCTCATGTACTGCATCCCTCTGAGACAATATATCTTAGTTTAATGGAACATTTAGCACTCCTACTGACAAGGTCTAGTGTTGAGATACTGAGAAGAGCTTAAACTGCATTTAGTAACTGCACTTATTCAAGAAGGAACTCATCTCAGGTTAAACACTGGAACTAAGAACATCCATAACATTCACCTGTTTGCAACTTGCAAATGATGTATCACTTGACTCTTATGGCACTACTTCTATTCTATTTTATTGTATTTACTTGCACTATTATATCTGTTTTATTGTGTTGCGCTGTTGGAGGAGCCTGTGACCTAAGATTTTCATCGACATAACTATGTAGTTATGCACACATGACAATAAAAGCCTTGAATCTATCTGCTCTTTGTTCTTCTGTTCCAGTGGGATTCCTGACACATTGCAGCCATACATTGATTGCAGGACCCAGGGATGTCTCGTCCCGCTCCGTCCCCCATCTTCACCCTGAGGGGGGCCGGCGCGCCCCTCAACACCCTCCACTTTAGCTGCCATGGAGGGGACACTCCCCTCTTATTTTCGGGGTAAGTCATTCATCTCAACCTAAACATTTGGCTCTTCATCTTCCTTAACACTTGAAAATGGTATTGATTATCTGGGGCAATGAGCAGAGATGGCAAAAGTACACACATCCTTTACTCAAGTGGAAGTACAGATACTCGTGTTTAGAAGTACTGTGGTAAAAGTAGAAGTACTGACTAAACTTCTTGACTCAAGTGAAAGTAAAGAGGCTTTGAAGTGTACTTCAGTAAAAAGTACCCATAACTAGCAGCTGCTTTTAAAGAGTACCTGACCTCCCTTTATATTAATAGAACAATAATGTCATTGTTAGCTAATGAATGTTTCCATGCTGAACAACGGCAACATGACAACGTTTCCATTGGTCCCTCTTCTTTAGAGAAGACCAGGAAATGATGGATACACGGATCGTGTTCAAATCAATAGGCACGCAATGACTCTAAAGAATAATGATCACGCATCAAACACACATTCAGACTAAAGGAACCAGCTGTTTGGAAAATGAGAGAAGTAGAAAGTACAGGTATTTGAGTTCAACATGTAAGAAGTAGAAAGTACAGGTATTTGAGTTCAACATGTAAGAAGTAGAAAGTACAGGTATTTGTGTTCAACATGTAAGAAGTAGAAAGTACAGGTATTTGAGTTCAACATGTAAGAAGTAGAAAGTACAGGTATTTGAGTTCAACATGTAAGAAGTAGAAAGTACAGGTATTTGAGTTCAACATGTAAGAAGTAGAAAGTACAGGTATTTGGGTTCAACATGTAAGAAGTAGAAAGTACAGGTATTTGTGTTCAACATGTAAGAAGTAGAAAGTACAGGTATTTGAGTTCAACATGTGAGAAGTAGAAAGTACAGGTATTTGGGTTCAACATGTAAGAAGTCAAAGTAAAAAGTCGTCAGAAAAATAAGTAGTGGAGTAAAGTACTGATACCAGAAACATGTATTTAAGTACAGTAACAAAGTATTTGTACTTCACTACTTCCCACCTCTGGTAATAAGTAGATATTAGGCCAGCCAATCAGGGTTCATTTCAGTTTTTGATGTTGAGCAGCTTTTAAAGCACCACACACCAAAAGTTACAATGTTATTTCAGTATTTATTACTTTAGAGCAAATCTGTTATGTTGTTTTCTCTTTAAATGTTGTTGAGAGTAATTTTGAATTATATATTTCTTTTTATATATTAGGGCTGTGACAAAATATCGTTATAAAATAGAAACATTGTATCAATCAAATTCATATTTAACTTTGATTAGTGAGCACGTTATTAATTGTGAATTTTTTTTGACTTTTGTATTGGGCATAGATGATAGTTTGAACAAGATTAACATAAACATTTAAGAGGCACTTATATGATTGTATTAACATATCAATATTACATTTTTCATCAGTATTTTATACAATATAATAATATTGCGACAGCTCTAATATATCTAATAAAAAGCCATCTGTTGGATTTTTGCAGGTCAGGTAAGGGTGCCATCCACATGTGGAACCTGAACACCAGGAGGGCCGAGACGGTTGCAGAAGGGCATTCTGGGAACTCAGTCGTGTGGGTCAACACACTGCAGGGGACAGACACTCTCATCAGGTGAGGACGACTTCTGATAACATGTCCGTCCCTCTCTTACTGTTTCTACGAGCATTTTGGAATTTACGTTTTTATTGGTAACTTCAGAATTCATTTTGTTTTTGTAACTATACTTACAACCTTGGGAAAGTAAGCAATCAGTATCACACATTTGTGACCCGCTCTATCGAAATCAGTCGGAAGTCGCGTTGTTCAGCATGGAAGCATTCATTAGCTAACAATGACATTATTGTTCTATTAATATAAAGGGAGGTCAGGTACTCTTTAAAACAGATGGTAGTTATGGGTACTTTTTACTGAAGTACATTTCAAAGCCTCTTTACTTTCACTTGAGTCAAGAAGTTTAGTCAGTACTTCTACTTTCACCAGAGTACTTCTAAACACGAGTATCTGTACGTCCACTTGAGTAAAGGATGTGTGTACTTTTGCCATCTCTGCTCATTGCCCCAGATAATCAATACCATTTTCAAGTGTTAAGGAAGATGAAGAGCCAAATATTTAGGTTGAGATGAATGACTTACCCCGAAAATAAGAGGGGAGTGTCCCCTCCATGGCAGCTAAAGTGGAGGGTGTTGAGGGGCGCGCCGGCCCCCCTCAGGGTGAAGATTGATTTGAACACGATCCGTGTATCCATCATTTCCTGGTCTTCTCTAAAGAAGAGGGACCAATGGAAACGTTGTCATGTTGCTGTTGTTCAGCATGGAAACATTCATTAGCTAACAATAGGGATGGGTATCGTTTGAAATGTATCGATTCCGATTCCGGTTCTTATCGATTCCCCGTTTCGATTCTAAAATTGTAAAAGAAAGATGTCAAACGTTTAGATAACAAAAATATCTTTATTCATTTAAGCTTTAACTGACATTTTTACAAATAAAAAATATACATGCAATACAAATGTATTGCACAATAGCTGTGCTTTATTTTAACTGAGCTATGTCTGTGGCAAGCTATTAACAGGCATTGTGCATTGTCTTTTTCTTTTTTTAGTGTAGTGGAGCCTCACTTTAGAGCATTTACCGCGATCCATCTTTGGTGTTATGAAGTGAGGTCCACAGTTGCCCCGCTGCGGGGAAACTGTGGACCTCTGTCGCCTGTCAGCTCAACTTACATGATGCCGTTTAAAAAAAATGAAGGGCGGTGCCGGCCGTCAGCGAACCGAGTCGGTCGTCAACGGCCATTCTGTGATTCTCCAGAACACACAGATGGCCAGACCGCCGCTGAATTCCACCGGGTCACCGCGGCGCAGACGGACCCGGTGGAATACAGGTCTACCGCGTTTAGGAACCGTTAAGCAGAACCGAAATTGTGTATTTTGTATGCGTACCCGGTACCCGGCATTTTCTTATCGGTTCTCATCTGAAAACCGAGTTTCGGTTCCCAACCCTAGCTAACAATGACATTATTGTTCTATTAATATAAAGGGAGGTCAGGTACTCTTTAAAACAGCTGCTAGTTATGGGTACTTTTTACTTAAGTACATTTCAAAGCCCATACTTCTTTACTTTTACTTGAGTAAGGAAGTTTAGTCAGTACTTCTACTTTTACCAGAGTATTTTTAAACACGAGTATCTGTACTTCTACTTGAGTCAAGGATGTGTGTACTTTTGTCATCTCTGGATATCAGCTAGTTATACGCGTTTTGAAATATGTCCATCCCTCTTACTGTTTCTATGAGCATTTTGGAATAGACGTTTTAATTTACTTGCACTAATATCCGTTTTATTGTGTTGCACTGTTGGAGGAGCCTGTGTCCTAAGATTTTCATTGTCATAACTACACTGTAGCTTTGTACAAATGACAATAAAAGCCTTGAATCTTGAGAGTTCATTGTTATTTTTAACTATACTTACAACTTTGGGAAATAAGATAACTTGACAGTAAGCAATCAGTGTCACACAGATATAAGCCAGTTATACGTTTTTTGAAATATGCATTGAACTGCAGCGTGTGTCCATCCCTCTTTCTGTTTCTACAAGCATTTCGGAATAGACGTTTTTATTGGTAGCTTAAGAATTCTGAGTTATTTTTACCTATACCTACAACTTCTGCTCATGCTTTTTGAAATATGCATTGAACTGCAGCATGTGTCTTTTCTTTTGGCCTCTCTGTTGTGGAGCAGTCAGGGACGGGACATGCGAGTGTGTCTGTGGGATCTGAGTGAGGGTCGCAGGGCGGTGCTGGACTCGCTGTGGACCGGCAGCGTTGGGTTCTGTCAGTGCTCGCTGCTGGAGATGAGTACCGGGACACATCTGCTGGCCTTCGCTGGACAACAGACCGAAGAGGTTAGACATCAGCAATGAAACTCTAAATTGTCTTTGGGTGTGGATAAGATAAGATAAAATAAGATGGATGGAACTACTGAATTACCCCGTGGGGAAATTCAGTAATTATACAGCAACAGGGTAAGGATGAAAAACAGGACAGCACAGATTAGGGATTAATACAATCAAAGATAAACATACAATTATATACAGTTAAGTAGCTTTAAAATAAGAAATGAATTAAATGGAACATATATACATATTTGGGTCTTATATTAGATGTACATGTATGTGTGAAAACAGTATTTATTTTATGTCCAGTACTTGTGTCACATTGTTGACCCCTTGTTGTCCGGCCTGATGGATGTGATGGGTTGAGGTATCTTTGTTTAGCTTATTTTTTAAATAGCAACCAATCTGCCAGTTCATGCTGGGATGTACTCCTGTTATAAAAAAAAATGGATGCAGGGAATGTCACATTTTAACCTAAACATTTGCCAAAGCTGTATATTTTCACAGTTTGTATTGGAAGTTTACTCTTAATAATTTTTTTAATATATTGCAGTGTGCGAAAAAGCACACTTCCGATCGTCCGGGACGAGTTATTTACAATATCGGACAAGTACATCTTTCCATTGACGTGTCCGACGGACAAGTGACGTTTTTCGCCCACATTTATTGACAAATGATTGATAAATTCAGCTTACAAAAGGCAGAACTCATTTCGCAAATCGTCCGTGTCCGCCATTGTTGTTTGCGACCGCTTTACGTTTCCTTCTTTGTCATGTGTGAATGCAGTAAAATCTTACAGCTCACTTATGTTAGCGGTGTCGTAAAACCATGGGAAAATGTAAAATACGATGCCGAAGAAGAAGATTCCAGTGGCCCCAAGAGGAAGCATGTTTCTTGCCAAATATGAACAAATAAACAATAAAACTTAACTTAGTTACAGTAAACCAGATTCTTGTATGCTTTATGTTGATATTTAATCATATTTAAAATAGGTGCAGCATGCACAAAGTATAGCTATGGACAAGTGAAACAAGTAAATTGCCAAACTCACTTGTCCAGACAAGTACTCTCTTAAAACGTTTCTTTTTTGACACTGTATTGTCAAAGAATATTCATGCTTATTTGAAAACCCATATTTGAAGGTCCTTGAAATCCTTTTAGATTTTTTAAATGGGAATGAAGAGACATGGGTCATTGGAAGTGCTTGAGGTTATATATTTTGTGCAGTAATAGTTACTAAAGTTATTCTAATATTTGTTGGTTTACATTTCTAAAAAGTCCTTAAAAAGTCCTTGATTTTATGTTTTTGTTAACTTAAAGGGGACCTTTCATGCAAAATGCACTTTTGTAATAATAATAATAAATGGAATTTATAAAGCGACTTTCACGGGACCCAAAGTCGCTGTACATGGTGGACAGACAAAATAAAACAGACAATGAGGAGCGAACAAAACAAGTCTTTTATACATGAATATGTGTTCCCGGTGTGTCAGGGAACTCACCAAGTGTCAGAAAACACAACCCTCTCTCTTTTCCTCCATACCCAAATCTCTAAAAGCGGGGCTGCAACAGATCTGATACAGATTTGAAAATTCTCTGACGTCAGGAACGAGGAGCTCCGCCTATATGGCCAACTCTCCACCTATCAGGGGAATGAGAGGTTGGGCCACGGCCGGCCATTTCCGCTCGAAAGCGCTGGAGACGCTGTAGTACATATGCCAGGCCTGTAAGTGGCGCTGTAGTCTGCCACAAAAGCAGCGAAGAAGACTTCCCGAGCATGGTTGCCATGGTTGCCCTTCTGTTTATTCTCCGCTGTGGCTCTTTTTCTCCCTCCCCGAGGCAAGCGTTTGCTCCTGCTGCTGTAATTCAATGCAATCCCTCCCCGTCGAGGCAAGCACTGTCACAGAGATGTTCACAAGTCTTTTTTTGCAAGTCCAAGTCAAGTCTCAAGTCTTTGGTCACGAGTCCAAGTCAAGTCTCAAGTCTTTGTGGGGTGAGACTTGATCAAGTCTCAAGTCTTTGGTCACGAGTCCAAGTCAAGTCTCAAGTCTCTAAAAAATAAAAGTCTCATGTCTCTTCTGGTTGTAATAAGCCTTCTATTGTCTGCTGCTATCCAGTCTGTTAAGAATACTGCACAGCTATATCTAAGAAATTCAAAGCATTTACTGTATCTGAAATATACTGAACTGGTGATAAAAACATGACCTGTTCCAAAAGAGATATCTACCATTAACACCATTTACCAGCCAGATGCTGGTAAATCATGCAAGTGGCTGGTTCTGTATGTTGCACGCACCAGCCACAAATAACAATGGCAATCTATTGAGTGGCTGGTAACATTTCAACATTCACTAGGCTAGCCATTTGGCCAGTGGACAAAAATGTTAAAATTTGACCTCTGCAACCGTATTGTTTAATTACACTGGGTCTCTAATGACATATTTTAAGTCTACTATAAATAAACATATTCCTCTATCCTCTCACTCAAACCCAGTGTAATGGTAACCTGATAAACCTGTAACATTAACGTTACGTGGTCAACAATAAACCTGTAACCTGCCTATAAACCGACAGATGTATTTATGTATGTAACTATGTATTTTTCTACGTTTAACGTTAGCCAGTAGATGGTGGCAGCGGAACGTAATGATTAACGTTACCGACCTTTTTTATGTCATGTCAAGAGTTGGATGTCAACGCCACTCAACGCAAACAAGTGTGACAAGCAAACATTCACTCATCTTTTCAAATATTCAGTTACAAAGCTAGTAGCAAGCTAAGTTAATATTACATAGCTGATGCTGAGCTAAACATGTTTGCTAACCGTCCATATGCGTTAATGTGACTGACCTCTCCGGGTGAGTTTTCAAGTGCCTGATGAAATATGACGTTGTTGCACCAGCATCCTTGATTTTAATATTGCAGACTTTGCAGTGTGCGCTCCTTTTGTTGGTGCCGCCGGCGTTTTGTTCGAAGTTTTTATAGTTGAACCTAATTACAAGCGGTACAGCTGCAGGTGTGCCGCCGGTCACCATGGTGTTACAGTTACCATGATGTTAATGTTGATGTTAAAGGTGGGGTAGGTAAGTTTTAGAAACCGGCTCGAGATACACTTTTTGTTATATTCCATGGAATGCTCTTAACATCCCGATAGCCGGCCCGGCTAAAGTAACTGGATGGCCTACCTGCCTGTCAGCCTTCCATCGGGGCACAAACTTATCTCGTGCCCTCATTGGTCATGTGCGCGTTCGTGTGTGTTGGAGGAGGGGCTCTGTAAGGAAGTGGCAGATTTTCTCCGGTTGTGTATTTTCAAATTCTAGCGATCTCGAGCCGGTTTCTCAAACTTACCTACCCCACCTTTAATACGCCAAAAATAGAAAACACAATGATTGTTCACGAGTCCCAAAACACGAGTCCAAGTCGAGTCCGAAGTCTTTTGAGCAGGAGTCCAAGTCAAGTCTGAAGTCTCTGTGTGTGCGACTTAAGTGCGACTCGAGTCCGAGTCACAAACTCGAGTCCCCATCTCTGCACTGTCATTCTCTCCGGTTAGTCCACCAGCAGATGACAAACACCCACCTCTCCGCCTCTTCCAAGGAACGAGGGGACCGCGCGCCAGAGTTTCAGTTAGATTTTTTTCCGCCGGTCAACATGTCCGTTAAAGTTTCAATCTTCCGGACAAAATTAGAAAAGTGCCGGTCAAAGGTCTTCTTTATTATTTATTGAGCTTTAAAACAAATGAATAATGACTCTATATAATCATATTTGAATAAAACACAGAAGAGGGGGAGAAAAAGAGATCTCTGTCCTCCGACAGCCCAGCAGCAGATCTCAGAGCACGCTCCCCTCTCCTGCAGGGGGGCGTGGTCAGCTGCAGCTCACAGAACCTGAAAAAACAGGGCTGGAATGAGCAAATAGAGCGAAATGAGGTATGGCTAAAATGCAGGATCTGTTTGGTATTTTGAAAAAAAACTATATGTATATACTTTATATAGGTATGGCCCTACAATATATTGTTCAAATATAGCATGATAGGTCCACTTTAATTTAAAAATATTTATCACATACCTGTACTGCCAACTAATAGAATTTAAGAACGTCCCTGTCAGTATAAAAAATATACAGTCGGTAATGTGTATAAATAAATGTCTATGCTTTTTAGGGTAGATTATGTTTACAGTAAGGTAATCAAAGATAGTGGAAATGAACCAGAGACCCTTTGGATCAAAGTTTCCACTCGCACCTAGGTTCAGCATGAGGAAACATCCTTCAGTTTATTGGCAGGTGGGAGTTGGGATGGTTCATTGGTTGACGAGCATAACAAATGCCAACCTGTATGAACCAGGCCAGACTTGCTGCTGCCAGTTTGCCGGTTTACTTCCTTTACGAAAACATATTTGTGGCTTTTAGTTTGATTTCATGGAACATTTAAGTATTACCGCAAAAGTAATCCAACCCCTGTAGTTGTTGAAAAGCGTTCTGATCCAATGAAATAACATAACATTAATGTCGTCATTTTTGAGAACCGTCAGTGTGAAATGTTAGCGTGCAGTTCGCATAATGCCATAATGTCATGAGTCACAGGGCACTGTGGAAAGGTAAAAACATAACACTAACCACCAGCTAAATGTCGCTAAATATTGGCTGTTGGTAGTACGCCATGCCTTTCTATTAATGTGATTGTCTAAAACACAAAATAGGTGTGCAAGGGCCTACAAAAAAGTGCCTTTCAAGAGGTCACTGCTACTTTGGCTAATGCAAAAGTCAAAGTATCTGTTTTAATCTTAGACTGTGGGATTAAAAAGAGAATTTCCCAGACCGGAAGAGATCATGCACTAGAAAGTAATCACAGTTCTGACCGCACAGTGAGTCTCGTACTTAATGCTCAACACCCACCAGCCTGGAGGGCTTTGTGTGGAGTGAGGCGGGATGAGGAGAGGGCAGCCAGCGATTCTGCCATCTTTTATTGCCTCCAGATTCATGTTACTTGCTCCGCGGCAGAGGAGCCACACTTGAAAGGGACAGAGCGGTCACCTGATCCCGCCAAACGTGCCTCCGCTAACCCCAGTCCAGCAGGCCAGGCATCAGGGCGCCTGTGATTCGCAGCACCTCAATAATGCCATTGTCCCAACAGACACAGACAGACAGAAACACACACACACCCATACAAGTTAGACTAAAACAGACCGCAGCCAATATTGTCATTCGGTCTCCACACCCCATTCCACAGACATAACTGACCACGACAGATGCTTATCATGTAACCGCAAATAAAACACCCACATGAACAAATTCCATCAAGAAACAATACAAGTGGCTCAAAACATGCACACTGGTTTAATTTAGTGCTACATGCAGGTAGGTCAATATTTAGGAATGCATCCAAGAAGACAGATAAGAGTTTCCTATTTCAGGTGGTTTCACTGTTTACTGCTCACACTGAGATCCCTGCCAGCAGACACATTAATTAATAGTGTGGGTGCTTTGTTTACAGGCAGTGGGACGCCACACAAGAACTGCGATCACCTGAGGCAAAGAGACGTCCTTAAAGGCTCTCTTTGTCAGGCGTGCAGAGGTAAACACACAGGACAGATGGGGCCGAGCGCTAAAATACAGATCGCTGCCTTAAAGGGCTGTTTAATCTGAGGCCTAATGAGGATGAATATGCGGATCATCAGCAAGTGGAAGGAAAGAGTTTTGGTAGGGATGTGGGTACACACTCAGAGACACACACTCTATCACTGGCTTCATTACGGCCGTGCATTTTATCAGAATCAGTGCCAATGTGTGCAGGAAAACACCATTCATGTCGCGAGGTCAGGGCTTTAGCAGGATTTATTATAGACAGTGGGCGGGGGGGGCGCTCTGATGGATGGGACCGGACCGCTGGGTGCAGGCGCTCTGATCTGCGGAAGTCTTGAACCACAATGACAGATTCACGTGGCTGCTTTGTTATTCAAACTCGGAAGACAAACAAATCATGCGCACAGCTCGTAGGGAAATGTACTTACAACCAAAGTTTCTGTGTGTAACTGTAACAAAGTCTCAGAAATGTAAACGGACTAAAAGTAATAAGAAAGGGATACATTAGAACAAAAGGCATCAGGACAAACTGGATAATTTCCATGTGCTTGGGAAAGGACTGATCACAGTTGGCTTTAGCCTAAAAATGAAACCATGACTAGAGAATATGAGCATGATACAAGTGTCAAGTTGATGCTGTGCAGTTTCACATGTTGATTGGCTAAGGAGGTCTAGTTAGCTCACTTGTTTTGAACTCCACACCACCATATTTTTTTATCGTTTTCAAAGTTGTTGTCTTGAGCCCTGGTGACGTCACTTAAAGCAATTTATCAGAAGCCACAAAAAGCGGCATTTTTTTTTTTACAGTTAAATCAGACTTTAAAAGAGATGGCTTAACGTGGTATGATCAAATGTTTTATTGTATTTGATTGTAGTAGAGTAGTACACACCTGATTAGGATGGTGGTGGGTGCACAACTCAAGGCTTTCATTTATTACACTGTTCAAACTGGTAATATCCTAATAAAGTGTACTCGTATTTCTTAAAGCTCCCATGTCATTGCCATTTCCACTGATCATAATTCCATTGTTGAGGTCTACTAGAATATATTTATATTGTGCAATTTTCCAAACTCACATTGGTTTCTCATTCAGCATCTCTGTATAGTATGTGTATTCACTCTCTGTCCTAAAGGCTTGTTAGAGCTCCTGCCCCCCCCCTCTCCCTATGAGCCCACTGGTCTCTGATTGGTCAGCTCGCCCACTCTGTTCTGATGAGTCCACCACCGTTACAGCGGAACATCAGTGATTATGTGTTACCATGACGTTTGTTAGCAACCAGAAAATGACACCAGTAATACGACAGATGAGAATGCTGCGTGGGGTCTGGGTGCCGTGTTGGCGGGACGTTGCGCCAGAGTTCCCGTTAGAATATTTTTTCGCCGGTCAACATGTCCGTTAAAGTTTAAATCTTCCGGACAGAATGAGAATGAGAATGCCTGTCAAATTGTCATTGGGATCTTTTTTTTTTTATCTTCTGGAGCAGAGCTGTGGATTATTGTTATTGATTACTGCATCAGTGTTTCTTAGGGTCAAAAACACTAAACTCACAACTTAAAATGACAGCGTTTAGTTTATTTAATAAAAGAGCACATGTTCAATGTGAAAAGTGACAGTAGATATATAGATTAGTTGCAATTTGGTGCTATATATATATATATATAAAAAAAAAAAAATTATATATATTTTTTAAACACCTTGAATTTCAGGGGGGGCGCAGGGATCCGTTGGCGGGGCGCAGCGAACAATGGTAGGGGAAACACTGGTGTGTGTGAGGAGCTCCACGGGTCCATTTGGGTATGGTCATTCTGTAAGGCGTTCTGGGGCAGCATAGACAGGTATTTTCTGTGTTAGAGTTATACTCTGTACTTTCATGGTTTGTGACTCTGCAGACCGTTCACATGCATAAAAACCTTCATAACACAAGGGGACGGGTAATAACCGGAAAAGCATGACATGGGACCTTTAATATTATTTAGAAAAGTGTCAAAACTAGTCTATATTGTTTCATATATATACATAGTATTTGTACTGTCTCTAAACTGCCTAAAATATTTACATGTATATATTTTAGCTTTTTTTACATTTATCTACTTATTTAATACATATACATTACACTGTATTTCACAGCTTCTCTGCACTTCTGGTATTATGCTAACTGCATTTTGTTTACCCAGTACTTGTCAATACAAAAAGTTGAATCTAATCTTACATTGTTGGCGTTAATTCTCTAATGTTAACGTGCTACCATGCTAAACTCAGATGGCAGACATTGTGAAAGTGTTACCTGCTAATCTTCAACTTGTTAGCGTTGTCAATGTGATCATGTTAGCATGCTGATATTAGATGGTAGCTCAAAGCTCCACTGTTCTTGCATTGATGTGGAATATGGAAGAGGACAGGTAAGCAATCATGGGTCCATTTCTAACTTGTACTTTTGCCATTTGTCTCTGCAGATCAAGATTGTCGAGCTACCCAGTAAGACCCCGGTCTGCACCCTGGTACCGGACGCTAAGCTGGGGATGATCATGTGTATCAAACTGTGGCAGGTAAGCATTGACAGTCCTCATAAGTGTCCTTTTCACGGTCTTTAAAGGTCACCTATTATGCAGAATCCACTCTTCTACATCAACATGTGTCCCCTCTTCTTCATGTCTCTTCTACATCAACATGTGTCCCCTCTTCTTCATGTCTCTTCTACATCAGCATGTGTCCCCTCTTCTTCATGTCTCTTCTACATCAAACATGTGTCCCCTCTTCTCATTGTCTCTTCTACATCAACACGTGTCCCCCTCTTCTTCATGTCTCTTCTACATCAACATGTGTCCCCTCTTCTTCATGTCTCTTCTACATCAACATGTGTCCCCTCTTCTCCATGTCTCTCTCTACATCAACATGTGTCCCCTCTTCTTCATGTCTCTTCTACATCAGCATGTGTCCCCTCTTCTTCATGTCTCTTCTACATCAACATGTGTCCCCTCTTCTTCATGTCTCTTCTACATCAACATGTGTCCCCTCTTCTTCATGTCTCTTCTCCATCAACATGTGTCCCCTCTTCTTCATGTCTCTTCTACATCACCATGTGTCCCCTCTTCTTCATGTCTCTTCTACATCAACATGTGTCCCCTCTTCTCCATGTCTCTTCTACATCAACATGTGTCCCCTCTTCTTCATGTCTCTTCTACATCAACATGTGTCCCCTCTTCTTCATGTCTCTTCTACATCAACATGTGTCCCCTCTTCTTCATGTCTCTTCTACATCAACATGTGTCCCCTCATTCCTCATGTCTCTTCTACATCAACACGTGTCCCCTCTTCTTCATGTCTCTTCTACATCAACATGTGTCCCCTCTTCTTCATGTGTCTTCTACATCAACATGTGTCCCCCTCTTCTTTCATGTCTCTTCTACATCAACATGTGTCCCCTCTTCTTCATGTCTCTTCTACATCAACATGTGTCTCCTCTTCTTCATGTCTCTTCTACATGAAACATGTGTCCCCTCTTCTTCATGTCTCTTCTACGTCAACATGTGTCCCCTCTTCTTCATGTCTCTTCTACATCAACATGTGTCCCCTCTTCTTCATGTCTCTTCTACACTCAACACGTGTCCCCTTCTTCTCCATGTCTCTTCTACATCAACATGTGTCCCCTCTTCTTCATGTCTCTTCTACATCAACCACGTGTCCCCTCTTCTTTCATGTCTCTTCTACACTCAACATGTGTCCCCCTCTTCTTCATGTGTCTTCTACATCAACATGTGTCCCCTCTTCCTCATGTCTCTGCTACATCACATGTGTTCCCCTCTTCTTCATGTCTCTTCTACATCAACATGTGTCCCCTCTTCTTCATGTCTCTTCTACATCAACATGTGTCCCCTCTTCTTCATGTCTCCTCTACATCAACATGTGTCCCCTCTTCTTCATGTCTCTTCTACATCAACACGTGTCCCCTCTTCTCCATGTCTCATCTACATCAACATGTGTCCCCTCTTCTTCATGTCTCTTCTACATCAACACGTGTCCCCTCTTCTTCATGTCTCTTCTACATCAACACGTGTCCCCTCTTCTTCATGTCTCTTCTACATCAACATGTGTCCCCTCTTCTTCATGTCTCTTCTACATCAACATGTGTCCCCTCTTCTTCATGTCTCTTCTACATCAACACGTGTCCCTCTTTCATGTCTCTTCTACATCAACATGTGTCCCCTCTTCTTCATGTGTCTTCTACATCAACATGTGTCCCCTCTTCATGTCTCTTCTACATCAACACGTGTCCCCTCTTCTTCATGTCTCTTCTACATCAACATGTGTCCCCTCTTCTTCATGTCTCTTCTACATCAACATGTGTCCCCTCTTCTTCAGTCTCTTCACATCAACATGTGTCCCCTCTTCATGTCTCTTCTACATCAAATGTGTCCCCTCTTCTTCATGTCTCCTCTACATCAACATGTGTCCCCTCTTCTTCATGTCTCTTTTACATCAACATGTGTCCCCTCTTCTTCATGTCTCCTCTACATCAACATGTGTCCCCTCTTCTTCATGTCTCTTCTACATCAACATGTGTCCACTCTTCTTCATGTCTCTTCTACATCAACATGTGTCCCCCTCTTCTTCATGTTCTTCTACATCAACATGTGTCCCCTCTTCTTCATGTCTCCTCTACATCAACATGTGTCCCCTCTTCTTCATGTCTCTTCTACATCAACATGTGTCCCCTCTCTTTCATGTCTCTTCTACATCAACATGTGTCCCCTCTTCTTCATGTCTCTTCTACATCAACAGGTGTCCCCTCTTCTTCATGTCTCTTCTACATCAACATGTGTCCCCTCTTCTTCATGTCTCTTCTACATCAACATGTGTCCCCTCTTCTTCATGTCTCTTCTACATCACATGTGTCCCCTCTTCTTCATGTCTCTTCTACATCAACATGTGTCCCCTCTTCTTCATGTCTCTTCTACATCAACATGTGTCCCCTCTTCTTCATGTCTCTTCTACATCAACATGTGTCCCCTCTTCTTCATGTCTCTTCTACATCAACATGTGTCCCCTCTTCTTCACGTCTCTTCTACATCAACATGTTGTCCCTCCCTCTTCTTCATGTCTCTTCTACATCAACATGTGTCCCCTCTTCTTCATGTCCTCTCTACATCAACATGTGTCCCCTCTTCTTCATGTCTCCTTCTACAATCAACATGTGTCCCCTCTTCTTCATGTCTCCTTCTACATCAACATGTGTCCCCTCTTCTTCATGTCTCTTCTACATCAACATGTGGTCCCCATGTGTCCCTCTTCTTCATGTCTCTTCTACATCAACATGTGTCCCCTCTTCTTCATGTCTCTTCTACATCAACATGTGTCCCCTCTTCTTCATGTCTCTTCTACATCAACATGTGTCCCCTCTTCTTCATGTCTCTTCTACATCACCATGTGTCCCCTCTTCTTCATGTCTCTTCTACATCAACATGTGTCCCCTCTTCTTCATGTCTCTTCTACATCATGTCTCTTCTACATTCACATGTGTCCCCTCTTCTTCATGTCTCTTCTACATCAACATGTGTCCCCTCTTCTTCATGTCTCTTCTACATCAACATGTGTCCCCTCTTCTTCATGTCTCTTCTACATCAACATGTGTCCCCTTCTTCTTCATGTCTCTTCTACATCAACATGTGTCCCCTCTTCTTCATGTCTATTCTACATCAACATGTGTCCCCTCTTCTTCACGTCTCTTCTACATCAACATGTGTCCCCCTCTTCTTCATGTCTCTTCTACATCAACATGTGTCCCCTCTTCTTCATGTCTCTTCTACATCAACATGTGTCCCCTCTTCTTCATGTCTCTTCTACATCAACATGTGTCCCCTCTTCTTCATGTCTCTTCTACATCAACATGTGTCCCCTCTTTCTTCATGTCTCTTCTACATCAACATGTGTCCCCTCTTCTTCATGTCTCTTCTACATCAACATGTGTCCCCTCTTCTTCATGTCTCTTCTACATCAACATGTATCCCCTCTTCTTCATGTCTCTTCTACATCAACATGTGTCCCCTCTTCTTCATGTCTCTTCTACATCAACATGTGTCCCCTCTGTGGAAAGAGACTCTGAAAGTTTCAGGAACAAAGATTCTCTCTCTTTTTGATCCATTTCTATAAAAACCTGTCTGAAAATGAGCTGATCAGATTTTGGCCAATTTATGATGTCATAACGATGTTTTGTCTTGAGTAACCATTAGCCAATCAGCAACCAAGGTAACCCCCCCCCCCCCCACCTTATCACCTGAATCTCCTCCTAGAGCACCATTGAGTTCTTTGTAACCAAATCTCTCTCAGAGGGGCGTGGGGAGGGGCTCCTTATTTTCATCTAAAGTAACAGACAGAGAATCAGCACTTTGGAAACAGGGCTGAAACAGAGGGGATTATGGGTAATGCTGCAATGATCTGTTTGGTGTTTCAGCCAATCAGAGACATGTTCTGGTATATATCTGAGAACTATGATATATTGATGAAAAACAATATAATAGGGGACCTTTAACTTAAACCCAAAATAGTCAATTCATACCTCAAGTGCATCAAGTTCACGTTGGCAGCCATTATAACAAAAAGTATATTCTGTACTCTTTTTAACAACGAGCGAAGAGTCTGTACTTTTTTCTTTACTACCTGCTTTACTCTGATTGGCCAGCAGCCCATAACAATAATAGAAACAGTCAACACAAATGCACATGAGAGACGTGGCACATGATTTACAGCCCAACAACTCGTCCCGGGCCGTTTTTCCAAGCGTTTCTTCTCAGCTGGCAGCGAGTCCCAACACTGTAATTAGAGCGTTTGGAAGGGCCGTGGGTTCACAGCCATATATCAGCCTGCAGCTGTACATCCAATCTGATCCCAGCTTAAAAACGCTGCTTTCTGTTTTGCAAATGCTGTCAAAGTTTTATTTTCCAGCCATTAAGGTGACCCTGTGATTATTTTCATGGTTAATTATTAACTCTTTGGGTTTGGGACTTTGGGAAACAGTGTGGGTTTTCAGACTTGCATCAGACTGTGGATGGTTTGAATACATGTTATGGGCAGACATCAAAACACAGCTTGAATGAGTGAGGTGTGTCGCTTCTCCTATTCAATTTGGTGTTCCTGGTAAACAAATTAGAGTGATTTGAGTGAACTAGAAAAGCTGTAAAGGTGACATCGTGTTGGTGAAATAATTACAGAGCCTCACAGTGCAAGCTTTTTCTTTCCGCCCTTGATTTCACTGTTACACCCACCTTTCATCATCTGATTTATGAACAAATGCTGGTTCAGCGTTGAGTGCCAGGAAACACAATGATCAATTATATCATTATGAATGATATAATATCATTATAATACAGCACAGGCAGCTGTCTGACTTCAAAGCTGAAGGGTCCAGGTGATTTTAAATCGTCTCAGGCTGATTCCTTTAAAGGCAGCGGCGCTCATCTGTTACTCTGACCGAGACTCTGGAGAGGCAGATGGAAGAGAATGAAAACCCACTGTGTGTGTGTGTGTGTGTGTCTCAGTGTGTGTGTTTTTG